CCCAGGCAGGTAATAAACAAATAAATTTCCCAAAGTGTTTGCAAAAGAGATTCAATTTTCAGGGTGTAATGGAACAAGATGTGACATAATGATCTGAATATATTTACAAATAATGGGCTAATCCTTAAAAAGGTATTTTGATATAGTAATCTATTTATGTATTTATTTATATCCTCTTGTATACCATCTCACCTCTGACATCTAGGGATTATTAACAATAGCGACAATAAAATAAGAATAAGCAACTGTTAAGAAGAACTTTGATGAAGTTCCATGGAATCCATCCTGCTAGTCTTCTTGAAATTCTCCTTGTTCTGTGTAACATGAATGAGAACCAATACTGACAAATGTCGGGGGAAACCAAGGGGAATGGCACCCTTGTGGTCATTAAATGGGGAACTGTTTGTAGCCAGCATTGCATGTCTGTTGCTCCATTCTCCCAAAACTCAAATTCAGCACTGAGGACAAGCTCGAATGGCGGCTGGGGTCGGCGGCTGAAGGGCAATGGCCTAAAGGTGGTGACACCGTTTGGGAGCCATTTGGGGGCCAAGAGGGGGCTGGACAGGCCAGGGGCTTTGGTTCTGGTCTTGTTTGTGGGCTGGAGGGGGGTTATGGTGAGTATGCTTTTAGCTGTTTTAATGGTTGGTTTTAAGTTGTTTTTAATGGTGCATCTCATGCTTACAGTATGATGTCGCCTGGGGAGTGCGTGGGCGCCGCCATTGGGGTGTTATACGCAATGGACATTATGGCACTGGGGGTTTAATGGGCCTCCATATAAGAAGGAGGGACAGATGGTTAACACCTGTTCCTCTTTCTGGTTATTCCCCCAGCTGGCAGGTTTCAGGTAGGCTTTTCAACCACCCCCTGGGCCTGTCGGTGCTGCTGCTTAATGCCAGGTCAGTCCAAAACAAAGCAACACGATTTGATTGTGGATGAGAGGTCCAACCTGGCTTGTATCACAGAGACGGGGGGGGGGGGATGTCACCCTCTCACAACTGTGCCCGCCCAGGTTATTTGTTTTTCGGCGCCAGGCTAACACCTTTTTATTTAAGCAGCATTTTAAATGTTAACATTATTGAATTTTATTTAGCCAGGGCGGCATATTTTATTTTACCGTATATATTTTAATTGTTATTGTTTTAAAGTATCTTGCATTTTATTTGATGTTGTAAGCCACCCCGAGGCCTCGGCAAGGGGCGGCATAGAAATGTTTTAATAAATAAATAAATAAATAAATAAACTGGTCCAGCGACGACCACACCTGGAGGGGAAGGGAGGGGAGGGGAGGGGGGTCACTCTGACTTATTGAGCTTCTCTTGCCCTTTTGGGGCTTCCTGTTCTCTCGAGGTCGGGTCTAGAGTGTCTCCACTTGGTGTTGGGGACCGAGACAGACTGCGGATTCTGTTGGTGTACCATGCACCCTTCTGCCCAACAGACTCCCTGCCTGAGCTGACGGAGATCGTCTCAGGCCTGGTGTTGAAGACTTGCAGTGAGTTGGTCCTGGGGTACTTCAATCTCCATGCCAAGATGGTTCTGTCTGGGGCAGCTCAGGACTTCATGGCCTCCATGGCAGCCATGGGGCTGTCTCAATACATCAGTGCCCCAACCCATGAGCGTGGACACACTCTGGTCATGGTTTTCTTGACAGGCAGGAAGAGGGTGATCTGAGGTGAGGAACTTAAGTCTGATGCCCTTGTCATGGTCAGATCACTTCATTAGGTTTGAGCTCGAGAGCGGCCTTTCCCTCTGTAAGGGTGCGGGCCTGATTGTGCTGGTCCGCCCCCGGTGCCAGATGGATCCTGATGGATTCCTGAAGGCTCTGGGGAAGTTTCCAGTTCACAAGGCTGGTGGTTGAACTAGGGAATGAGGAGATGACCAGGGCTATTGACACGATCACTCCCAAGCATCCTCTCCCACCTGGCAGAGCCCGTTCATCTCCTTGGAACACATCTGAATTACGGGCGATGAAGCGGGTTGGGAGACAACTAGAGCGTAGGTGGAGGAGATCACGGGATGAATCTGACTGAACACACTAAAGAGCCCACTATCAGGCATATGCTATGGCGGTGAGGGTGGCGAAGAAGAAATTTTTCTCCGCTTCCATTGCCACCTCACAATGCCGTCCAGCGGAGCTATTTCGGGTGGTGCAGGGGCTGGTACATATGGGTCCAAAGAGAGATCTCTTGTTACCTTTGAAGGCCCACTGTAACAACTTTGCCAAGCATTTCAGGAAGAAAATCGCTCAGATTCATCACGAGCTTGACTCTACTATTGAATCAGATTCCACTGAGGAGGTGCCAATGACGCTGTCAAGTCCTCAATTAATGGATGAATTTCAGTAGTTGCGGCCCAATGATGTGCACAAGGTGCTTGGACAAGTACCTCCTACCACCTGCTTACTAGACTCTTGCCCATCTTGGCTACTCAAGAAAGCCAAGAACGGGATTGGGACCTGGATCCTGGAGGTGATCAATGCATCTTCAAGAGACGGCCAGGTACCTGCCCCTTTAAAGGAGGCGGTAGTCTGGCCAGTCCTAAAGAAGGCATCCCTGGATCCAGAGGTGGCCGGCAATTATAGACCGGTGGCCAACATCTCGTTCTTGGGCAACGTGCTAGAGCGGGTGGTGGCAGGACAACTCGAGGCACTCTTGGATGAAACTGATTATTTGGACCCATTTCAGTCCGGCTTCAGACCCGGGTACGGTACGGTACTGAATCTGCCTTGGTCTCCCTGTATGATGACCTGTGCAGGGAGAGAGACAGGGGGAGTGCATTCCAGTTAGTTCTCCTGGATCTCTCAGCAGCTTTCGATACCATCGACCATGGTACCCTTCTGGATAGGCTAGCGGGATTGGGAGTTGGAGGCACCGCGTTGTGGTGGTTCCGCTCCTATCTCAATGGCTGATTCCAGAAGATGGTGCTGGGGGACTGTGGCTCTGTGCCATGGCAGTTATGCCATGGAGTTCTGCACGGGTCCATTTTGCCCCCTTGCTATTCAACATCTACATGAAATCACTGGGAGAAGTCATTAAGAGGTGTGGGCTGCAGAATCATCAGTACGCTGATAATACCCAGCTCTCCCTCTCGTTTCCACCAATCCAGGTGAGACAGTGGCTGTACTGAACTGATGCCTGGCCGAGGTAATGGGCTGGATGAGGGCCAATAAACTGAAGCTCAGTCCAGACAAGACAGAGGTCCTGTTGGTGGGTGGTTAGGGCTTCAGGATGGGGGACTTGGGCATTGTCCTAAATGGGGTTTCAGTCCCTCTGAGGGACAGGGTTCGCAGCTTGGGAGTGCTGCTCGACCCTGAGCTGTCACTCGAAGCTCAGGTGATGGCGGTGGTGAGGAGTGCCTTCCTTCTGCTTCGGCTAATCCATTAGCTGCGTCTCTTCCTGGATAATGACTGCCTGGTGACAGTGACGCATGCGTTGGTAACTTCCTGAATAGACTTCTGTAACATGCTCTACGTGTGGCTACCCTTGAAGACGGTCCGGATACTTCAATTGGTGCAGAATAGAGCTGCCAGGTTGCTGACTGAGACTGGGCATTGTTCTAATATAACATTCTTTTTTTTGGCACCAGGCGAAGACCTTTTTATTTAAAACTTATTCTAACTGGTAACTTATGTATTTATATTTTTTAAATTTTTAATTGCATTAATTTGTTATATATATGTTTTAATTATGTTGTGAGCTGCCCCGAGGCTTTGTTGCCATGGGGGCGGCATAGAAATATTTTAAATAAAAAAATAAATTAATAAATAAGCTGACTGGAGTCCGGGGGGGGGGTGGTCCATGGGAATTTGATGGATTCAACCCACACACAAATTAGGTTCTTCACTCTTCTCTGATGCTAATCTACCTTTCTAGAATGTTTGTTGCTTCAAGCTACCTACCAGTTCGGTTTGAAATCTTCCCTTCTGGGCACACATTACAATCGTAGCAACAATTTTTTTCCCCTTCCCTCATTTTCTTATGATGACCAGCTGGGCAGGGATCACTACAGATGGAATGAGGTGCAATCTGTCCATTAAGAAGGTGGAATGCTTTCATTAGTCATTAGTTAAACAGCTTCAACAAACACATCAGCAGTATAATAAAAAAGAAGATATTATAACCAGACAGGAAAGAATGCGGAACATGCTATTCAAAACCTTCTGTCAGGAAATTCCACAACATGCAAAGCATATTTTTCTTCACCTTTGAGCTAAATAGGTATAATTGGGAAATACGTGTTTTTTAGAAAAGAAAAGGAAGATTTAGATTTGCATGATCTCACAAAACTTCAAGGACATCTGGCTGGTCACCCACAGTCCTAATTTTTTTCAACTTGGTTTAAACCTTTGTAATTTCAGAGTGAAAAATGCATGGAAATAGACACAGCTGACTTGCACCTCACATACTCTCATTCTGAATACACACCTGATTAAAGCTCTGATGCCAAGTTATTTTGTCCTCAGCAATGATGAACCTTTTCCCCTCGACAGCCTCAGGAATTACCAGGCCAACCTTCACTTTGAGACAGGATTTGTTTGGAAATGTGATGAAGTTGATTACATCAAATCCACCTTCCACTTCCCGATGCTCATTGAAAGCGACGCTTTCACCAGCAGTGTTGTTAAAGGAAATGCCTTGAAGGAATGAGTGGAGCTGATTGAAAAGAAGGAGAAAGAGAAGTAGAAGCCGGAGGAGGTGGAGGAGGAGGAGAAGAAAGAGGAAGAGGAAGAACTTAAGTCTTCACTGAGAACATGAAAGCACCTTGCATTGCAAATATGTGACATAAGCAGGCATGCTGTTCACTGCCTAAAATTAATGGGGGTATATAGGAAAAGATAGCATAAGTTCTACTTTATTCACAGGTGCTTCTCTATGTTTGTCTAAGGCTTGACCTCAAACACTGTTGTATGTAGCAAAGCATCAGCCTCATGTGAAATGTGGCATTCCAGCAACAACCAGAAGGAAAGCTAACACATCTCCAATTGTTGGCTTCAAGAGGAAAGGAAAGTCAAATGCTTGTGGCATTGTGAATGGAAAATACTTATGAAACCATTCCGCATACTGTGGCAAGGGGAAATAATTTGGACTGTTCAGATCTTTGCTGGTTTATTCATGGAAAAATTGGCATTCCACTGTGGACTGTACCTGCCAAGGCTGCAGGTCCTGAAGGCCACCGGCTTTGTCATGAACCTTTTTTCTGCGGTTGGATTGCAAGGAGAACAAGGTGTGGAGTGCATTTCCCACAGCGTAGACTGCGTTGTAGATGCTGTAGCTGTGGCCAGTCATGCACATTTCAAAAAAATGCCCAGGGAGGCTCTCCAACCTCTCCTCTCCAGTGCACGTTCCCACAACCCTGTAAGGCACCAGTGGGTCTGGGTCCACACAGTTAAATGCATCTTCCCAGAAATTCTTGAGGAAAACATCTGCTTGTGTCCAGTCTGGTTTTAGAATCTGAAGAGATTCCTGGAATCCAGGAAGGCATTTTGAGTGAGTGGAGAAAACAATGCTACCCTGGAAGGCTCGCAAACTAGAGTCCCTGTATATGAT